TGGCAGGGCTCGGCCCCCAGGGGCTGTCCTCTCACCTCTTGAAATACTCCACTTCTCTGTCAGTCTCATCCATCTCCGCCCCGTCCAGGTCCTTGGGCAGGAACACGTCGTCTGGCAAAGCAGAGGGGCAGAGAGGGGGTTCAGGGCTGCCAGGGGGCAAGGGAGACGGGCAGGGGGCTGGCAGCTGGGGACGAGGGCGCACAGCGGCACTCCCGGCACTCACCGATTGAGGTATTGGATTTCTCAACCTTGTTCCGGCTCTTCCTGCTCTTGCCCTTGGGCTGGGGGGAGCCCCCCAGGGCAGGGGGGGCAGGCAGATGCCGGTCCCCTGCTGCTGGGGCAGGCGGCTGCTGCTGTACGGGCTCCGGCAGCTCTGCTTTGCCCTCTCCCCTCCGGCCTTTCCACTCGCTGCTTCTCTCCTTCTCTGGCCTGGCGCCGCCACAGCCCCAGGGCTGCCCCTTGGTGCTCTCCCCCGGCTCGGCACAGCTGCCCACCCGCTGCAGCTCCAGGGCACCAGCCTTGGAAGGGTGCTTGGTTCCCAGCACCTGCCCCTTCGCACCAGGGCTCTCCAGCCGGGCCAGGCTGCCGGGCACCGTGGCAGCACCCTCCCCTTTCTTTGCCTGCCCGCTCTGCCGCTTGTTCTTCCGCTGCCGGCTCCCAGCAGACACCAGCTCCGGTGGCTCCGGCCCCTTGAGCTGCGGTCCCTCCTTGGGCTCTGGGCTCAGCCCGCTGCCATCCGTGGCAGAGTCCGCAGCCTTGGACTGCACCCAGATCATGCGGGAGAGGCTGGGCACGGCACTGAGGCGCTTCACCACGCCGTTACTTGGCGGGACCCAGGCTGAGCGGGGCCAGGGCCAGGTCTATGTCCTGCAGGTCAGAGGAGCCATTGAGGTGGGAGAGCAGGTTCTTCTGCTCCAGGACAGCTGCCTTCTTGGGGAAGTCATTGACATCCAGGTTGAGGTCGTAGACACTGAAGCTGGCCCGGATGGAGTCCTTGATGGTGTTCTTGATCTCCTGCAGCCGGCTGCTGAGGAAGCTGTTCACCCGCTCCAACTCCAGCTCCGGCCACTCCAGCAGCTTCTCCTCGGCTGGCTCTCTGGCCTGGCTGGCTGCGGGGCTGCGCTCTGCCCGCTTCTGCGCCTCTGCCTCCAGCTGGGCTTTCTCCTTCTCCTGCAACACAGGTGCCATGAGGATCAGGTGGCCTGGGCCACAGAGCCATGGGGCTAGCCAGGCACTGGCTCTGTCAGGCAGCAAACCCAAGGGCTGGCACTGAGCATGGCCCACCCCATCTCTTCCACAGCCCCCAAACTGTCACACATCCTCTGTGGGCACTGCAACAGCTACCACACTGCACACCGGACACCGCTCTGGGCACAAGGCACCAGCACGAGCCATTGCAGCACTGCCTCTCCCCACCACAGTTGCACGGTGTTTGTCAGAGGCAGCACGGAGCAGGTAGGACAGCGCAGCCCAAAGCACTCAAGAGGGCTGGGCCACCCTCTGCAGAACAGAGGCAGGGGAAGCCCCGCATGGAGCCAGGCACTGCTGTCACCTCAGGAGAGAGGACGGCAAAGGACACAGAAGGTCAAGAACCCAAACACATGTGACTGAGAGAAGGCAAAGCCCTGTAAGGGGCACAGCCTTGCCCTGACCTCCCCTCCTGCAGCCTGCCCCAAGCAGCGCTCCCCTTCGCCCAGCCTCACCTTCTTCTTCTGCTTGTGCCGTGCCCGCTTGGCCGCCTTGGCGCTGTTCAAGGGCTTGGGCTCTGTGCTGTTGATGTAGTCAAGCAGCTCATCCACGTTGCGGTGGTCCACAGCGGGCTCTCCTGAGCTGCTGTTGTGCCCCAGCTTCTGGGGCAGCTCCTCTTTCCTCTTGGTGAGGCGCGAACGCAGCTTCTCCCGGATCTCAGCATAGTTACGGCTCGTGGGAGCAGCTGGAGGCTGCGGAAGGCAAGCTCTGTCAGCTGGGTAGGCACAAGAAGCCAGCCCTGGCTCCCCCACCCGTCCCCTACCAACCTCCCCAACCGCTCCCTTCCCCGAGGTCTCTGTGAGACAAGTCAGCACAGCCCCCACTGAACTCTTTTCCACCACGAAGCCACAGGGTTTGCCCAGCTGCGCCAAGCCCCAGGGCTGGGCAGGCGGCTGCGAGTCAGGAGCAAGGGGACCAGCAAGCTGATGAGGCAGGATGGAAACAAAGTGGGGGGATGCACATGCCAGCAGGGAACGGCTGCGGCCAGACCTGCCCACCTCCACACTCTTGGCACAGGGACCATGTAAACATCTTGCCGCAGAGTGGAGCACAAGAACCGGGGTGGCTGCAAACCAGCCCCTCACTCACCGCGTTGTGGCCGAAGAACTCACAGTAGCAGCAGTCACAGAACTTCCCGTCTTTCTGGTTGGTGGAGGAGGAGGTGCAGGAACTTCGCTCCGAGCTGCTGTCCTCATCCTCCCCGAGCCCCTCATCTGCCTCGCACGGCTGAGGCGGGTGGCAGCTTGTACCGTTTGGGAACTTGTGCCCTTTGCAAGAGGGGTCCCTGAGAAGAAGGGGAAAAGGG